GTTTTGAATCTTGTCTTGATCCACAGCTGTAAAAGTGTTATACCAGAGCATAATAACTGATAGATGCTCTAAAAGTATGCTTTTTTAACAAAATGTAATTTATTTGTTGATTTCTCTTTAAAGGTGTTAGTGTATTTAAGAAGTACAAATTGGGATACCCGTATTGCAGCTGGCCAGGCTGTTGAAGCAATAGTGAAAAATGTACCTGAGTGGAATCCAACTCCAAGATCAAAGCAAGGTGCTGCTTAAATGAATTATGTAGAGTGATGCAAACTGACTGTGATATAAAAAGTCTTAAGGCAGCTGTGCCATTCTGTTTAAGATGAACCTGCTTTTTTATTTTGTAGTAACCTCTTTAGCTCGAGATGTTTATATTCAGTTACAACACTGTGCGTGACCTTTGCTTCTTCTAAGATTCACATGCTTCTGCTTTGTACCCTCAAAATGATTTACTCCATATAATTAAGAGGAATAATAACTGGTGAAACAAGAGAACTTTTAAACAGTCAATTTTGTCATATTTTGCAGTTTCTGAAAGCACCTTTCTGAGAGAGGTGACATGGCATCTTGTTGCCATCTGTTTGTGCTTATCTGGAGTTGTTGTATTAGGGATGTTGCTTCCTTTTTAACAAAATTCCTATCTGATTTGAACTGTTCTCACATTAGTTGCATTACTACAGATTTGTTCCATTATTACAGAATTTGCTAAGCAGTTTCTGCGCTTGCTTTATTCACTGCATTTGTTATTTTTATAAACGCTTGCTATATTTGCACCCCTTCAACAGTTTTATTCTCTTCACCTTGAAAAGCTGCCCTGTCTTCAGTTTCCCCTCAGAAGACAGCTGCTTTATCTTTTAGACAGCTTTATTTGTAATTTTCAGTGCTTTTTCTTACTTGTGTTCTCCTTGAGATGTACATACCTGTCCATAGTATACTTGCATCTCTAAAATACTGGTATTTATATGTAGTGGCAAAATGATGCATTTTGTTATGTTTTCAGTGTCCTTCCTGATGAAGCCCAGTACCCAGCTTGCAATTCTGTCGCTGCCTAATAAGCTGATAATTACAGAAATCTAACAAGTGCCTCCAAAATCTTCATTCACTGTTAACTGCCAGTTCTCACATCTGTGTTGTGTAGTCACAGCTTAAGTTCTTAGTGTCGCACTTTATCTGCCATCTTGTTGTTCTTAAGAGTCCTTCTAGGATTTCTTAGTATCATAGATTTTCTCTATCTGCATATTAGAGCTCTTTAAGGATGTTGATAATCATGTTAATTAGAGAGTTTTTTCAGGAGCTATGCTGACTCTTTCCTGGTGTATCTGTATACTTAGTAGCTTTATTTATAGACTCTGCCGTGTGTATATATATATATATTCATTATATATATAATTCATTATATATATATAATGAAATGTTATATCCTTCTTCAGGTCTGAAGAAATGCAGGTATTGCTCATTTTGTATGGTGCTCAATATGCAATTAAACTTATTCTACTGTAAATGAACAAAACTTTCGTAAGTAAGCATGAGACAGATTACCAAAATAAAAGCTGCATTTCTTGTAGGCAACAGTGGTATATGTAGTGCTGATTTAATTCAGGATGTGAATACACCTGGAGTCACAAAACATGAGTACTGAAGTTTTGAGGCAAGGGAATACTTTGGAAATGAATTCATGACCAGGAAATGATAAGACACCTTGTGAGGATCAACCATCTTATCGTTGTTGAACTGGACAAGTATACAAGTATCTGCAGCTTGTCTGCTCTCCTGCTCTCTTATCAGGGATGCCTGGCTGTTGGTTCTGTGAGGCAGAGTTGGCATGATACTTATGTGTGAGCCACGTGCAGCTCAAACTGAAGGTGGCCTTATGTGTACGTGGAAAATCCTGTGTTAGTCAGTGTCCAAGATTTTAAAAAGCTAAACTTAGCAAGGAGAAACACTAAAATTTGTTTTTATGAAATGGAGTCTTTGTTTTGTGAATGAAAATGCTGTATACCTGATAGTTCTTCTGGGGAGTGAAATTATTTCTTCCTTCCTGACCGTTATCTTATTTCTGCCAAAATTTTGAGAACGATCTTCGTCACATTTTCCTTAATATTATTTTCAATGTTTGTTTAGAACCAGGATCAGAAAGTCCTATGGAAGATTCACCTTCAACAGACCGGTTGCGTTTTGACAGATTTGATATATGTCGCTTGTTAAAACACGGTGCATCCCTCCTTGGATCTGCTGGTGCAGAATTTGAAGTCCAGGATGATAAATCAGGTATATCTCTATATCTTTCTTGCAAGCCAGAAAACATAGAAAACATTGGTTTGAAAAGGCTTGTTGTAGTTGTGTTTTAAGTCTAGTCAGCCATGGTTTCTCAGAATGCTAGGGAAATACAAGGAAGAAAATCTGCTCTAACACAACTGGTTTGTACTGTCTTTCTTGAATTAGAGTGTTTTTATAGAGGGTGTGTGTGTATTGTTTCCTCTCACTAGAATTAGTGTACATGTAGGGGGGAGAGTGGATTCCTAGCATTTCTGTAGAATTATTATTTTTTTTTTTTTTAGTTTCAGGAGATACGATCACTTGTTCCTTACTAAAACAATGCTCTCTAGCTTGTAGGATGTGACTAACTGAAGAGCATTAAGGTTTGAAATATAGGAGAGACTGCACAAAACTCTGTTGATGTCAGAAGGTCAAATATTTAAAATATTCAGTGCGTACTGTGTACTTCAGAACTGTTAAATACCATAGTATGATCCAGGTGGTTTTACGATTTACACTGTTGTGGCATTTAAATGCTTATACAGACATCAGTGTTTTTATGGTCTCTTAGTGGAAAAGAAGCATAATAATATTTCTCTGCAGTGAGTATGGAACAACAAGTGAAATTATCTAGTATCAGTTAACTTATGGCTTCTATTAGAGATCACCTTGCTGCTTTTCCATCTGTGTGTGGGTAAGAAATGTGGAATATGTGTTTAGTAACTTTGTGATACCTTTTGTTTCAAGTGAATTGTCTGACAAGTTTCTGCAGCTTTTTAGCTGAGAATTACTTTACATCTGTAAAGTGACATAAAATTATTTTGAAGATATGTGTGATGTGTTGACCAGTAAGTTTGTGAATGCCCCTCCCTGGAAGCATTCAAAGCAGGCTGGATGGGGCTTTGAGCAACCTGGTCTAGAGGGAAGTTTCCCTGCCTATAGCAGCAGGCTGGAATAAGATGATCTTAAAGATCCTTTCCAACCCAAACCATTCTATGATTCTATGATATACTTACATATATATTTTAACTGTACTTTTCTATTTCCAGTCCAGATTCCAGTTTCTGCACCTCCTGAAATGGTGCCATAGATAGGAAGGCATGCTGGCTGCAGAGCTTTCAGTTACTTATCTCCTGTGCATGCTGCAATCTCTGCATTGTACCTACTTTTTAAGTAACCAAACTGATGGAATGGGACACTTTGGTTTTTCATAGATATGTTATTTATCCTGCTGCCTTATCACATGACATTGTAAATAATATTGAAAATGAAAAATTAAGAAATTGGTATAAAATATCTTAAAAAATGACTTAACTTTTTAAATTGCTTTAATTGATGCTTTTTTAACTGACAGGAAAATTCATAAAGCTTACTTTCTGTTCTGCAGCTTTCCTTTTCAAGTAGGTAGTCAGCATGAATGGATATAAAGCAAACTTATTTGGCAAGTTTATTCTACACAGACTCTAAAGTCTTCTAGATGTTAAGTAATTCAAATATTTAGGATTCACAGTGTTCTTGAGGTAGTTTCAATTAAGTTTCTAAGTGTGCCTTGCTTGACACATGAAGCTTAAGGATTAGATTTTTAACAGACTCCAGCACCCTGGGAACATCGTGCTTATGCTTCAGGGTCCATTGCTTTCAGGAGAGAAAAGAAAAACTTTTGGAGAAACAAACAAAATTAAGCAGAAAAGAAAAATCAACAGTGAACAACATCATTCCACAGAGATGCACATGCTGATTAATGCAGTGCAGGCTCTCAAATCAGTTGCTGGATTTAGATTTAATTTTAGTATTAATTTCTTTCAAAGTGCGATTTCCTAAGAAACTTTTTTTTTTTTTTTTTTTTGCAAAAGCTGTTTTCTTTTTATTAACTTCTGTGGACCAAATGTAATTTGATGAATTTTATGGGAGCTATTTTCTGTTTAAAAATCACTTGAAGTAGTTCTGTAGCTTTAACATCAGAAGGTTCTTCCTAGGAATCAATATGATTGGGTTTAAAATGTTTTATTTATATATTATCCAAATGCAGTTTAGATTAGTTCTATGACTTCTGTTTTTATGCTATTTCACTGAGCAAGACTTCACTAATAGATCTAGTTGGAAATCTGACACATCTGCCTTTCTGAAAAACTTTTTAAAGGTGAAATTGATCCTAAAGAGCGGATAGCACGACAGAGGAAACTGTTACAGAAGAAGCTTGGCTTAGATATGGGTGCTGCAATTGGGATGAATACCGAAGATCTGTTCAATGATGAAGATCTGGACTATTCTCCTTCTTCAGTTTCACTAGTAAACAAACAACCTGTAGGTAAAACCTCGGGCTGTTTCACTGCAAAGAATAATACAGTGGGTTTGCTTTATTTCAGTTTCCGCAGTTATAACATTTTTATATTTTAAACATGATCAACTTCTAATATGATATGCTTTGGCTTCTTCAACCCTTAAATCCCATACTTCCCCATTAGGATTATTTGATGTCAAACTGTTGCTCTGAGTTGCAGTTAAAGGAGAGTTGGGGAAGTTGAGAACAATGTGGGCTTGGGGATTTTTCAGGATCTTTGTTGTAAGAAGAGCTGACAATGAATGGCTTCTCTTTCAGACTCTTCAGGCCGCTGAGTTAATTGACTCAGAATTTAGAGCTGGTATGAGCAGCAGACAAAAGAATAAAGCCAAAAGAATGGCTAAGCTGTTTGCAAAGCAAAGATCTAGAGATGCAGTGGAAGCTAACGAGAAGAGGTATAACAGTGAACTATTTTGCTCTTTTTTTCTATTACGCTTGAATTGTAATTTGATTGACCCGTTGAAAAACTTCCTACAGTCTTTGCCTCTTAAACTTTTACATGCTAATTTTATTGATGGAAGCAAGGTGCTGCTGTGCTTATTCCTGGTAGACTATTAAAAACCTGGCTTTCCGGAATCTTGAAATAATGGGATGCTGCAGTTTAAAATGTCTGGTTTGTCCTTGTTGTTAAATGCACCCTGAGAATAGCACAAGAAAATGGGGGAATTAATACAGTAAAAATATTAGATACTATTTTCCCATGTATGATGGTACATTCCTTGTCATTGGAGTTTAGTGATGTGCTATTGTACCTGCCGTATTTATAAAGAACAGTAAGCAGAATTATTTTTCCTTGGTTTATTTAAGGATTTCTGTATTTCTTGGGTAAAGCTGACAGATTTTCATTTGGCCTCCTGGCTCAATTCTGTTATCTGCAACTTTGTACATATTTTGCATGTTTCAGAAGGCGTTACACTTTTTGTTCTTATTCTTTCCATGCTTGACCGTGTCTGAGACTTCAGTTGTAGAAGTAATTGCTTTTCATAAAGCATACTTTCACTCTATAAACTTACTTGTTCCTTCTCAGCAATGATAGCACTGATGGGGAACCAGAAGAAAAGAGAAGAAAAGTTGCGAGTGTTGTCATCAACCAACCTGCCACAGACTCAAAAACATTGGTAGAAAATGCTTCAGAAGAGGTATGATCACTGTTCTGCTGTTAGTGAAAATGATCAGTTGTTTAGCAGAGTAACATAAAATAAAAATTCTTTATGCTCACAAACTATAAAGTCATTTTAGGATTATGAGTGAGAGGAAAGAATGACATTGACAGCTTCCCTTAGTATGTAGTGAAGCAAATGGGCTTCAAGCTGTATGCAGCATTGAGAGGAAAACACATTTAATCCATCTGTATTAGTTTGCGACCCAGGTGAACCTGAATAGGTGAATTACAGGTGTTGGACCTGGGTATTAAACTGTCAAATGCTAAATGCTTAGATAAAAGATTACACTGAGCTATACATAATTTGATCTAAATGTTCACATACACTTTATTTAATCTTTGCCTTACTTTAATTAGGCAGGATTTAGAATTAGATTCTATATTTAGTAGCAAATATGTTTGCTTCAATTGAATGAAAAGCTGCATAATTTTAAGAAATGCTGTACAGGAATACCAATACTGCATAGAAGTTTATTTTGCAGTGACTTTATCTTGATTAAATTCAAAATAAGTTTTTCTTAATGTAGCTTAGTAATTGAATTCTTATTTGTGAAACAGTGATCGGAAAACGCATTTATGAAAGTTTAATGACAGCTGTAAATTGAGGTGCTGCTGGCTGCCAGCCTTTCAATTGCTTTGTCTTTATGATGGTGTAAACTTCCTAATATTAGTATAATTTTTTTTTCCACTGCCGTGTCAGCCTCCTTACAAGAAATTCTGGAATAACAGATATGCTTCTTATTTTCAGTAATGCAGAATGTGTATTGAAAAGTTAGTGCTTATTGCTTGATTAATTGATCCAATTACATCATCTAATTTCAAACTGGGATTTGCCTATTTTGCTTTTCAAAGACAATGCATAAATTTAAAGAATCACTAACTTACTTAACTATTTATTATGAATTTAGGCAAATGAATGGCCTCTGGAAAGTTTTTGTGAAGAGGTGTGCAATGATCTCTTTAACCCTTCCTGGGAGGTAAGACGCATGCAGTATCTATGGTATAGCTATATATGCTTGATAAGAGGTAGACTTAAATAGAAATTCTATGCTTAGGACATGAGCATTTTGCTTGGTAGCAGAACTTACATGAATCATGCATATAGATTACATAGTTGAGACCAGCTTGGTCTTACAGAATTTCTTAAGAGTTTTTTAAGACTGACTTAAAGGAGAAATGAAATGAGAATTTTGGAAGTATTGAAATTTGAGCAAAACAATGTTAAGTTATTTATACTGTGCAAGCACTGCTGACAACAGTAGCATATCCATCTCTCATCTAGAAGAGAGGAAAAATCACCTTAACAGCGGATAGGCTACGAATCACTGTCCTCTTCATTTATGAAAAGGAATTTACTTTTTTTTTTAAGTAAGAATTACATTAAGTTACAACTACAAAAACTACATATTCGAGACTGCTTATTTCCAAAATTCAGTTGTTACGCTCATGCATTTACTCAATCCCTGTACTGTTTTCCACGAACATTCATATTAATTCCAAGCAAAAATATGAAGTAATTGACAAAGGGTTTTCTTTCTTGAGCGGAAGATGGGAATAACTACTATGAACTAACCTCAGTTTTGTAAAAAGAAAATTACCTTTCTGGAAGTTCCAATGTTATCACCAGCTGTAATGTACTTAGGTGTTATCTGTATCACAGTTTTACCAATAGCAGGTTGGCTCTGCCCATGCTGACCTCAATCTTGGAAAAGCAGAGATAGATCATCCACAGCCAGCATGAGTATTTTGGGCCCTGAGAAAAAGGTTAATTACATCCATGTGGCACATCACTGTATCTAAACTAATAAGCCTCATTTTATTTCAGGGCAGACTGTTCGCAGCTGAAACAGAAGTTCACTGTTTTCTGAAATGCAGGCACTCTCATAGCCTTCTTAGTACATTTGATGTAGGGGTATGCAGACCTGAAACAAGGAAGTAGATTGTTACAGATTCATTTTTATGATATGTTCTCAATGGAAGAACAGGTTAAGCTATCTCAAAATACATGTTTTTAAATCGCCCTCTGGCATATTCTTGCCATGTTTATAGGCAGCCTGGTTGACTTGTTCAGACTGCTTGTCTAGCTCATAGGCAGCTGAAGTCAGATGTGCTGAATCCTACTACTTGGTATTTCCTTGATACATTTCTTTCTTGCTGCTGTTTTTTATTTTCAGAAGTTAACTTCTCAGCAGAGTGTTCTTTTGGCTTGTAAAAACTAGTATAAACAAATGTATACACAAGTGATTAGTGTATAATGAACACTTAAGACTTTAAGACTATGTTTAATGGCTGTTTTTTACTGGCTTACAGATTTCACCAGCAGCCCCTGAGCTATACATATTTCTGTTTATATTTCATGTAAAATTCTTAGATAACTTGGAGAATCTACCAGCCATTTGGCTCTAGTTGTTGCTGTCGTGTAATGTACTATCAACAAGCATGTATATTAGGTGCTCATTATAAAAATAGTACAGTAGATTCTGCTCTAACCTATGTAAAGGCCTCTCAATAAAAAACAGGCTCAAACTTTTGCTTTTGTAACTTTTTGTGCAGCTACTATGCTAGCTTTTCTTGATTATCCAGTTGTAGCTAGCTAGGGATCAAAAGTATGAGAAACAGGTATTGCCATAGCATACCTTTCTGCTGGTATTCTGTAATCTCCAAAACTCTTTCTCCATACATTCAACTCTTTATATTTGGTGAGCACGTATATGTTGCTGTAATTTGCTTTGCCATATTTGTTCACTTTTCTCTTAATATTTGGCCAAGCAAGGTAGGTTTATAAACTAAGCTGAATAGTAATTCTCAGAGATTTGTTTTGTGGATCCCAAAATATCCACTGAGGATCTAAACTCAGTTTATAAGAAATATGAAATCTACTAAGAGCACTGCTTTCCTTTAGCTTATAAACTTAGTAAAAGTTATCTTTGAGCAGCTCCTTGTGTTGCTCAGTTCCCCAAAAGCCAAAAACTGCAGTGATCTAGAAGCTAACTAGAGTGTTTTATATAGCTCCTGAGATTCATGAGGTGACTGTATTTGTAATTGCTGATCTTTCTCTGAAAACCAGTGTTTTATAACATAGTGAAGTAAAGCTAAATGGCAAGTGCCTTGTTGGGTACATTTGTGCAAATATGGTAACAGATTTTTTTTCTGATAGAAAACAGAAACAATTCTTACTTGCCTCTGTCCATAAACTGACAAATATTTAATAAATACTACCCTGTTCTAAAACAATCTAATTTTATCTAATAAAATACTATCCTTGTCCACAAGTCTACGAAGTACCACTAACTCTACAGCGTTGCATATACCTATGTTAGGGGGAAAAAAAATTACCTAGTGTAATGAGTTGCACTATGGAGCTTTTTTTTTTCTTTTTTTAATCTTCCTAAATCTTCTAAAACTGACGTTTTATTTCACTTTCTAGGTTCGACATGGTGCAGGTACTGGACTGAGAGAGATACTCAAAGCTCATGGTAAAAGTGGTGGTAAAATGGGAGACAGCTCATTAGAAGAGGTGAATTTCCAATCATGCAAATTTAATTGTAGCTTTCTTGAATTGGATTTAGTAAACTGACTTCTTAAAATACTTAAGCTTTGCAGAAGATTGGTCATTTTGAGGGGCTATAAACCATGAGATCTTCCAACTCAAAACAATCTGGATCAAATCACCACCTCAACTAATTAAACATTATGCACAAAAGTATTTACATACTTCCCATGTATTTAAAAGGAAAATTAAAAAGAAAAATTAATTTCTTAAGAGTGATTATTTGCTTATTATTAATAGTGAATCTCATTCACATTGATAGGACAGTAAAATCAGCAAAGAGAGCTTGTGGTTTAGAGAGTGCTGAAGAATGATGAGATATATATATCTCATGTAGATCGGTCTACTTCAGTATACTTTATCTACAGAGAAAGCAGAAGCTGTTGTCTTTCCTTGCTTCCATGCTGTATTTGTTCTTTGGAGATTGCAGAGTAATAACAACACATGCTGCGATGATAATCTCATCGGTTTCTTATTTATGGAAAGAGCCTGCACACTTCAAAGGCTGCTGTGCATTCCACATGCAGTATGGACACAGTATGATCAAAGACGTAATTTTTAAGAGAAATGGTAATCTAGTAGATGAACAGTGGAGGTGTGAAAGGTGATGTCAGAGTAGTAGCGAGTAGTTCCTTTTCCGGGATTTGTCCTCTGGGGTTCAGAGTTGCGAAGCTGTTGGGCCTCTTACAAGATGCCAGAGCCTCAAAACAAGCTTGATATAATTACCTATATCTGGAGGAGACTTGACTGAGAAGTGCACTGCATCATAGTTCATGTTTATTTGAAAATACTCTTCAAACACATTGTAATTTGCCTAGAACACAGCAACATTACTACAGATTGAGTGACCTTACCTTTGCATGCTGCGTAGGAATAAAGTCATCGGTCTACTTTACATGATGCTTTGCAGCCTTTTGATGAAAGTACTATGTGCACCATTGTGATGTTTGTGATAAGCCAGGTCAGAGCTAAATCAGTGCTGACTCTTCTGCCCAAATTGTGCAAGATGACTGCATTCAGTCAATGTAAACATACATTGTGATACCTTTTCAAATATAAATTTAGCAAACACAAGCATGTCTGAAATCCTTTATGAATAAATACAGACCAGATATTCTTTTTTTTTTTTTTACAGATGATTCAGCAGCATCAGGAGTGGCTGGAAGACTTGGTTATTAGACTTCTTTGTGTGTTTGCATTAGACAGATTTGGAGACTTTGTTTCAGATGAAGTAAGTTGTCTGAGTGAACAGATAAATCAGCAGGCTTCTGCAGGAGATGATGCTGCAGCAGATTCGCTGCACTTTGTACAGTGCTACTGCATGTGCTTGCTCTAACTGTTCACAGACGCTTACTACAAAGTAGCAGATAAACATATTTCACCTTGTATAACAATTTTGCTCATCTTATCATTAATGAGATTCTACTCATTAATTTATAAGTCAAAGTTTCATAATGAAATGGCTCTTTCATCACCTAGGTAGTAGCACCAGTACGTGAAACTTGTGCTCAGACTTTGGGAGTGGTACTGAAGCATATGAATGAGACTGGAGTTCATAAAACTGTGGATGTTCTCCTGAAGCTACTTACACAGGAGCAATGGGAAGTGAGACACGGTGGACTCCTAGGAATAAAGTATGCTTTGGCAGTGCGTCAGGTAATAACTCTCATGACAAACTGTAGAGAGCTTTGGAGCAGAAAGCTCTGCTCAAAGATGAGGATGTGCTGGAAAAACGGATATGAGAAAACCAACCTTCTTGCACTGCATCTCATGTGGGTTAAGATGTATGACTGCAGCTTTATTATCCAGGCTACAGAAATCAGCAGGTGTTTGGCAGTGTCATACGACTGTAATCTCATTAACAGTTACTTGCACAAAACAAATTTATAAATAGAGGCTGTGCCATTTTAGCTTTGATATTTTCATGCGTGAGATTTGCAGAGCTGTGTGCTACAAGAGGTTTAGTTTAGCTCATTATTATTCTGCAAACTTTGGGTTTGGGTTAGCTCAAAAACTGAGCTAAATTAATGTTCAAATTTATAACCTAGATTTTACTTAATGAAGTACCTTTTAATATTTAGATTACATTACTGGACTTGTAGCTTCTTGTTATATAACAAATACCTTTTAGCTGTTTGGTGTCTGCTCTGTTTTTTAAGTTTAAAAATACTTTTGCTCTTTTTGGCAGGACATGATCGACACATTACTGCCTAAAGTGTTGCCTGCAATAGTTGAAGGTCTCCAAGATCTGGATGATGATGTTCGAGCTGTTGCTGCAGCATCTTTAGTACCAGTAGTGGAAAGCCTGGTCCACCTTCAGTCTCAGAAGGTAACTGAGCTGTTTTCCATCAATTCTGATCCAAAATTTCACTGAGCAAAGGAAATAACATGTAACAGTTAGCAGCTGAATATTTTCTCCTCTTTCTGTCTGACAACCTTTTCTGTTTATTTGTCCTAGGTGCCTTTCATTCTTAATACATTATGGGATGCGCTCCTCGAGTTGGATGACTTGACGGCTTCCACAAACAGTATCATGATCCTTCTTTCTTCTCTTCTGACTTATCCTCAGGTCCGCAAGTGCAGGTAACTTTTTAATTTGTATTTCTTCATTATTCAATATAAATCTCAAGTTATTTTCAGATAGGAATAATCAAAATAGCGCTCAAATCACATGCCAAGGAAATACGTAATTTAAATCAGTATTTTAATTTTACTCTTGCTTTTCCTCAAAGGGAAGGTTAGGGCAGTGTGCTCCTCATTTCATTTCATTAGTAGTGGGCCCAAAAATAATTAAAAGGTAGTAGATGTTGTTTATATGTGTCTTTTGCTTTTCTGCTTTTAACTCCACTGGTTGTAGTGGGTATTTTGTAAAACGTATTAACTGCACTTAAATGGTGATCCTTTCCACAATTTCTTATCTGCTCCTTATTGACAAATTCCAAACAAGCGCGCAAACTATTTACATCAAAACAGCAATTATAACATTACTATTGGACATAAAGCTTGACTATTGAAACAGTTCAAAAGAATTATGAAAATGAAAACTTGGATCAATAGTACAACCAGTCATTCTGTGACTGATAAAGGCAGATAAAGCAGTGGGTAAACATGATTTCTGTTCCAAAATGAAAAAGAGGAGAAAAAATTGCAATATAAAGTTACTGGAACATTCACTGAAGAAAGCAGAGGGGAGATGTTAAATA